ATTTACTTTGTCAACCAGAATATTTATCAAATTAGGATCCGACAAAGTACTTAAATCTCCTAATTGATCTATTTCATCACAAATAATCTTTCTTAAAATACGTCTCATAATCTTTCCACTTCTAGTCTTTGGAAGATCAGAAACAATATAAATCTTTTTGGGTGCTGCAAATGGACCAATAACCTTACGTACTTGTAAGATTAGATCTTTTACATCTGTACTACAATTTGGTTTCAAGGTGACAAAAGCTTGTATACTTTGTCCTGTTAATTCGTCAGGTACTCCAATAACAGCTGCTTCTGCAACTGAAGAATGAGAAATTAAAGCTGACTCGATTTCTGCTGTTGATAATCTATGACCTGACACATTGATAACATCATCTACACGTCCACGAATCCAATAATAACCATCACGATCTCGAGTAACACTGTCACCCGTAAAGTAATAACCTTTATAAGGCTTTAAATATGTATTAAAATATCGATTATGGTCATTGTAAATTGTGCGTGCTATTGATGGCCAAGGTTGGCGAATAGCTAAAACACCTTCTGCTTCCGTTGTTGTTATCTCTCTACCAGTAGTTGAATCCAATACAACAAGATCTATACCAAAGAAGGGTAAAGTCGCAGAACCAGGTTTTGATGAAATGGCGCAGGGTAATGGTGAAATAACTGTTGAACCAGTTTCTGTTTGCCAATAAGTATCAATTAGGAGATTTAAGTACTTTGTCGGATCCTAATTTGATAAATATTCTGGTTGACAAAGTAAATAATTCATAGATTTTATTTTTTATTCTGTTTGAACGTGTTATTCATGAATATATAAAATTTTTATGAATCTATGAATCTGCAAAAAATAAATTGTTATTCAAAAATATAGAATTTATAAAATCCATATAATCAGATGTCTTGACCCAATTAATTGATCCAAGTGTTTAATAATGTCGAATTGTCAAAATTGCCCAATTTGTGTATATACTAGATAATGCGTGGCATTAGCTGTCAGGAGCTAAATATTTAATTCATGCGTAGTTTAATTGATTGATCGGTGCAATATTTTATATATTGTATGTACAGTTCTTGGATAAAATCCGAATATAACGAGGATAATTAATATAAATTCGTAGTCACATATGAGTAGGCTAAGCTCATATCGTAGACAGAAATTAGCCCGATTGGCAGATGTAAAATAATTTTTTGAATTATTTATTTGAGAATGTAATATTTTACTGATAAAAAAAATCAAATTAATAAGACTTTAATAAATGTTATCGTGCAAACTCTTATGATCATGGATTTTTTTTCCTCTTGTTATTTTTTGTACGGTATTACATAAGCACAAACAATCTCGAATTAAAACTCAGTCAGCCAATAATGACTTGTAAATCATGATCATAATTGCACGATAACATCGATATTGGATCATGCGATGATTAATATGAGTGTCGACAAGCGAAAACAGGGAATTGTGAGTTTTCCGAAATTATTTTACAAATAAAACCCCGAAAAAATGTGATTT